GTAAACTGAATCTTTACAACAATGTTACTTTTTCCTCTTTTATTCAACAAATCAGGCAATGTAGTGAACCAATTTGTCTGACTCGGCCCCCACCTCTATCGCCTACTGTCACTCACCACATGGAGTGACAGGATCGCTGCAGGGCTGTGTTCTTAGCCCCCTACTGTATGTATGCCCTGTGCACACGACTGTGTCCTGAGGAAGAATAACCAGGACTGGGAGCTGCTGCTGGCCTTCTACCACTCATCAGGTATGCAAGGACCACAACTGAGAACAGGAAGGCTATGCAAAGGGTAATTAACACTGCCCCAAAAATGATTCCTTTTCCACCCCTGGAAGCCATCGTCAGATTCTCCTGTTTCAGAAAAAGTACTCAGATTCTCCTGTTTCAGAAAAAGTAGGCCACAGGTGCCACAGGTGAGAGCCTCCCCCCATTTGTACATGAACTATTCTATTCTAAATATTTATCTACTGCCATTTAGGTTGTTGCAACCTTGATCTGTAAGCACCTCCAACACTGCTGCTAACACAACAACATAACAATTTCTGCACATGTGCATTTAGTTGTTAAAGCAGCAGAATTCTGATGTTCATCTGAGCCGCCCTGGCAAACTTAGAGGGGAGTGCAGACAAGCAAATAAACTGCTGACAAAGGCAAAACACATATTCGCTGATAGGGGTCAACTCAAGTAGATTTAAATGTTATTCCAGTGTATTCAGTTTTACTTGCAAATGTCCAACACGTACACGTTCATGGTTTATGAGCAAGCAGACTGAAGCTGACCCTTGTGTACATACTCCAGCGCTGTTGCTATTGTCCTCATGTCCATCTCAATACTGCGTGCCCAGTTTTCTACATCTCCAATTTCCTGTTTAAATGAGAGCATGAAAAAATTTGTATTCACAACCTTGTTAATGTACAAATATAACCCACTATCAGCCCTCTTTAATTCACAAAATGTGTTTTTTGGATTGAAGGGGAAAAGTGTGTTGAGCTCAGATTAAGTCCCTAATTAAAATGTGTTTGTACAAGCAATTCCTTGGTGATGTCACAAATAATTCCGAAGCCAATCATGATCCAGTTTGTATTTTACACAACTGTGATGTGGTGACCTGGAACTGCCAGTGCACAACAGAGAGCGCAGATCTTTGGAAGATGCATAAACAGTTTTGTTTGTATGTACCGCTGACGTTATTTAACACAAGGTTACAATAGTAACTTTATTTGCTCTAGCGTCTAGCGTTACAGTTTTAATGTGTTTTACTCCTCACACTTGCACAAAGAACTGCAGCTAGAAGTTAGCCTGCTGGCACACTTAAGGGGATGTCTTTTAGGGAATTTTTGGATAAAAATTATACCGACAAAAAAACATATGTCAGCCAAATTATCATTACAAGTACAATATTATTAAATATCATAACGTTCTTTTAACATTTTCATCCTAACTGACCTTGAAAAAATGCTGATGTTTGCTGCAAAATCATTTTGCAACATGACTGTGTTCAAGACTGATATGGTAGATTTGAGATGATGACAGACGACAGCCATTTCCTTAACCTACCTTTAATGCTTGATTGAATCCCTCCACCATACTGATCCACTGAGCAGTTTGTTTGGAGAACTGGCTTGCCTGCACTTGGAGAGTCTTAACCTCATGGTCAAGCTTTCGCTGGTTTACATATGCCTGTGCAACTCTAAAATGAAACAGGACAAAATAATGAGGTTTAGGGCATTATAACACATATAGCCGCTACAATTTCAATACACTGAAACCATACACTGTTACTCAATATAGTAAAAATCTCTCTTTGTCCCAGAAGGATTTTGGTCTGGAGGCTAATCTTTTTCATGCAGGAGCAGCACAACAATAATGGTCTTTGCATCCCACTCTGAGTCTCTTAAGCTGATTGTCCTGGTTTCATCACATCTTTCACAATACATTGTTAATAATTTCAGCATACTGTTTTTGGCTGTGTTAAATATTAGGCGATGTCCATCCTGTTAAGAATAAACTGTTTGATTAATTTGGTCCGAAGAAGGTGTTAGTAATGTGAAAGCCTGGAGAAACAGTATGACTAAAATCTGATGTGTGTGACAGCCTTGTGTCAGCCTGGCACTGACATACCATATACGAAGTAATCAGACAAAAAATTATTATTAATTAGTGGGATACAAATAATAAATAATTACTAGCTATTAACATCACACTAAAATCAAGATACTTTTAAAATTGTTTACACTTGACTTTAAATAAGCAAAAAAAATATTAATGTAACACACTCTCTAACTTTATTGTCATTTTACATTAAATATCTTTAGATTTTGAATACTGGTTGTAGACAACACAACGTGGAAAGTTAATATTGGGCTCAGGGATTTTTCACAACTTGCTTACTTTTCATTGACTAAAATTGCAATGTAAAAAAAGAAGATCAATAATTACTGGTGCTGAAACAGGTACAGCTTTCAGAGCAACACCTAAAAGTAAATAATACAATTGGTGCAGGACACAGATGTCCATATTCCAGAGAGATTGCGTGACCTCCAAAGGTTGATTCTGTTCATCTGAACGTAGCGTTTTCAGGGGGAGAAACGTTTTGTCACTCATCCAAGTGACGAAACCTGGATGAGTTTTGGACCCGATCCTGGGGGTGGACCAATTTTTGCCGCAGCGCATTTTGGCCTAAGCAAAAAAATGTAGTGATTCTGTGTATTTCAGGGGTATCAAGACACATTTTTGCTAAACACCGTGTCTCCTGTGGCTTTTAAACCCTGAAACTCGATGTGACAAAAAATGGTCCACCCCAAGGATCGGGTCCCCCGACGCAAACAGAGTAACATAGTGTACGCTGTTAAGTGCCAGGAGGATTGCCAGGACTTATGCATCAGGGAAACCAAACAACCTCAGGCGAAGCGGTGGATGATGAGAGTCAAACCTTAGATACTGATCCGTATGTGTAGGATGTGTACGGATCAGTATCTAAGGTTTGACTCTCATCATCCACTGGAGCACAAACTGGGTGTCATCAGGACGCTACAACACAGAGCGAACACCATCCCCACTGACACAGTGGCCAGGGAGGCAGAAGAACCGCACATCAAAAAGGCCCTGAGTAAATGTGGTTATCCCAGCTGGACTTTTGTCAAAGCTGGAAAGGCACCTAAAGAAAGCTCCAGCCGATCCAGGAGAGAAGGACAACCGCTGCCCAAGCGAAAACCTGTAGTGATCCCATATGTGTCAGGAGTATCGGAACAGTTGAGACGCATTTTTTCAAAACACCGGGTCTCTGTGGCTTTTAAACCCCAAAATACGCTGCGCCAAAAATTGGTCCACTCCAAGGATCGGGTCCCCCGACGCAAACAGAGTAACATAGTGTACGCTGTTAAGTGCCAGGAGGATTGCCAGGACTTAAACATCAGGGAAACCAAACAACCTCAGGCGAAGTGGATGGCACAACACAGAAGAGCTACCTCCGCAGTCTATTTACACCTACAGGCCAGTGGACACTCTTTCAATGATGAGGATGTACACATCCTGGACAGGGAGGAATGCTGGTTTGAGCGCGGAGTCAAGGAGGTCATTTACGTGAAAAGGGAAAGACCATCTCTGAATCGAGAAGGGGGTCTAAGGGTACATCTCTTGGCATCTTACAATGCTGTGATTGCAGCCATTCCCCAACTCTCTGTGAATGGTACTCATGGCCATTGATCAGTGGGCTTTGATCAGTGGTTGTTGATCAATGGAACTGACCTCCCAGCCCATTGTTCCTTCAGTGGTGTTAGTTTCGATCATTATGCAAATGTACTGTTTATACGATTGGGTAAACCTGCAGTAAGCTGAGACTGAAGAAGTCACTTGGAAGAGTGACGAAACGTTACTCCCACTAAAAATGCTACGTCCAGATCAACAGAATCAACTTTTGGAGATTTACTTACCTGGATGACTGAGCATGCATCAAGACATTTCTGTGGGACATACTCGTCTCTGGGGACCAAAGGGTCAGCAGAGCCTGTTTTCAATCCTTAACTACAATCAAACCAAAATGAACAGCAAGAAATAAGCAAAAAGAAAAAAAGGAATCACCGTCTTACCCAACGTTGAGGTGGTCTACCAGGGCTTCTGTCAAACAAGTGGCTGCAGCAATTGCTTCACGTCTGCGTTTCTCTGTGAGAGAATAAAAGACATTACTACAATCAATCAACACTGGACTGTAGCTCTGTGTGGTGCTGGGACATCCTAAGTCAAAGAGAGCTTTGTTTTTAGCAATGGTTAGCACTGGCGGCTATCACTATCGATTTTTGTTATCACACACCCTGCAGCTCCTTCCGCTCATTTTGCTTCGCCTGGTGCTCCTTCAATAGACGAGATAACATCGTGCTTCAGCAGACGTTATATTAATGGCGAAAGTGACTGCTCATAGAACAAATAACAAATCATTTACCACACCGCGACGTTTCTTGCTGACTGCTAACAATTACAGCCGTGTCACGGGACCAAAAAGACGGATGTCACACGTGGGCGTGTCCACACTTTGGCCATCGAGTAAATGTCTGAATAATTTCATAAATAAAACCATATATTTTAGTATGTACTGCCAAACAATGTAAAATTTAAAGGAACATAAACGTATCTTGTATCTTGTTAAATTATACGATTGTTTTATCTTTTTATCGCGATGTCAGCAGCTTCAACGTCCCTTCAAAATAAAAGCTTGCCTATAGGTTACATCTACTAATACTGCAGACAGAAATCAAATGACGAAAGTACTCTAGTCCAGACTTATAAATAGCAGCAAGCTGGGGGACAAAAATACCAGGACAAATATAGTCTGGTGCATCGTGCTGTTTTATTTTTGTATTTTTGTTTTTGATTGTGTATAACGTCATAATAAAAATTAACATGGTCTGACGCCTAATGTTGCTTATAATTTATATAGATAATCCGATTATATAGATAATAAGCCTTTTTCTCCAATGCTTTATTATGAAAAACTTGTACCGGAAAACCTGGACTTGTTCAAGCTAGCGGATCACTGGTCTGAGCTGATGTTGTTATCTTACCTGTCATCACTCAGACATAGCTGAAACTAAAGTTTTTGTCACTCTTCATCTTCTTCTTTCATCAGGTATGGTCACTTAGAGTTCTTCCAAGGAACAGCTTTGATTTTTCCTCCTCTAAATAGTCGAAGGAGTGAAAGTGGTGTTAGCATTTCGAGCGTGGGTTTAATGCATGGTTAGCTAAAGCCTTGATCAGGATATCGGTGTGCAAAGTTCCAGGTTCTTGAACTTGTCCGCCTTCGTTACAGTTATGAAACAGTTTACAAGCTGGCCAGTGATGGTGATGTGACAGCTTAAACGGAAACTCTACTAGATTCTAGTGTTTAACGGTGTCTTAATAACTAATCTTCTGTTGGCTAACATTACTGCTAACCTGTGAGAAAATTGAGCCTAATGCGCAACGAGATCAGATATCAGTTTACTGACTGATATCCTCCCTCTCTTTTCCCTTCTGTTTGTATATATAAAACCTCACAAACTAATAAGCAGAAATCATTTTACTCCATACAACCTCAGTTTCTCAGTACCAATATCTCAAACCTCAACAATGAACAATATGTATGCCAATACAATTTTTTTTATACTGACCAACCATTATTTAGTTCAGGCTCTGTTTTGATTACTAAAATTGACTGTCTAGCACACATAGCAATGCGGTTTGCTGATTTACAAGCTCTACCAGATGAGTGACAGATTTGGACAGCAGTTATGAATGATTTCCCAGGGCCTGTGTGCTGCGAAGCTAGTGGGGGTATAGCTCAATTTGTTTATTTGTGTATTGTAAACCACAGTCAATTTAAATATTTAACCAGAGTGATAATGGAGATAACATGTTATCTTTGAGTCAACAAAAAATGATCCCAGATACCAGAATGTGTCTCAAGTATCTCTTTGTTTTATTTAGATTGCTTCCTCAAGGCTTACTCACTGTTGACTATAAATCAGGTTATATTTTTCACTCTTTAAGTATTAAGTTATATTTGATAACATTGATTGGAGGTTCATTTGTTGTTGCCACAGGCTCTAATGTTATGGATGAACCATGAAGGCCCAGTTGCAAGTTACTGGTAAGTTATTGTTTTTGCAAAATTTGTATGCTCATCATTTAACAAAAACCAGTAGAGGACTGTGATAAATTCTTTACGGTGTTTTCTTTTATCATTATTAATATGCTTAACATCTGTCATGGAAACCTAGATTTTGATGAATCCCTTGATCTTAAAAAATACCTTAAAGCTGGTTGTAATTAAACTGATTGCTGTTGCGCTCAGGATGCATGGGGCTACAGGAAGTGGTTTTAAAATCTTGGTTTTCCATGACTAGAATTTTTATTTTTCCAGTGCTTTCAGCTAAGCTGAAGGAAAACAAAAAGACCTGGTTTGGTCCAAGTCCATATGTTGAAATAGCAGTGGATGGCCAGTCAAAGAGGACTGAGAAATGCAACAACACACACAGCCCTAAATGGAAGCAGGCTCTCACAGTGTGAGTACAACTGCGAAAATTTGTTTAGGTCCATATTTTAGCAGAATGTTGCAATTGTAGACAGAAAATGTAATGTAAGATATAATGGAGGATTAAAATCATCATAGACTTATTAATTGGATTTCCTCAGTACTTGGAGGCGGGAAAAACAAAAAAAGTTTCAATGCTTGATGAGTTTCAAACAAAAGCTAAGAAGCTGTACAGATTCCCTCAATTATTTCTCTGCTGTTGTATCGTATTGGTTGGTGCTGTATGCTGAAAATTTCTCACCTTTCTACAGAATTGTGACGCCGTTCAGCAAACTGATATTTCGTGTTTGGAGCCATCAGACACTCAAGTCAGACATTCTATTGGGTCTAGCTACATTGGAAATCAGCAAGACCCTTAAGGCCAATGACATGAAATGTAAGTTCATTTTCCTAAGTGGCAAATTTTTTTTTTCCACTATTGGCATGATATGGTAAATGGACTGGAAGTTATGTAGCACTTTTCTACTTTATTTGAGCACTCAAAACACTTTCATTCACATGTTTATACAGGCACTTTTTTCTATCCCTAGTGCTTTTGTCACACTCATTATAACACGCTGATGAGTGCAACACAGGGTTCAGTACTATAGGATAATTTGAAATGCAGACTGGAGGAATTGAACAACTGACCTTCTCATCAATAGGAGCTGTACCTCCTGAGCTACAGCCATGCATGAGACAGTTGTGAAAATGTTGTAGCACAAGGATACTTGTGCTGCTATTTTCTATATTAACCTTGGATACGGAAAGATGTTGTGAGGAAATGAGTATACAGCTAATATTTCTAGGTTTTTGGAGTTGAGCTGTACAAAATCGTAAATTGTATAAAGACAAATCTGTTACTACATGACTTCATGATTTCATGAAAATAACAAATTAGAGCACTTTCTGACTTCATTTTCTTTGTCTATGTCTCACAATGTACACTGTACACTGCATCACCTATGCACATGAGCTTTTCTGTGTTTGAAGTAACTAAATACAATGCCTCTTCAGACCTGGTCAGTGTGCATAGCATACACAAAACATGTGACATTACAGTCTGGTCTACATTCTGTGTAAGAGCTACTTGTCTGTGATTTTCAAAGCACTGAATGAGATTCTTGTTGCACATGGTTTTTGAGGCATTCCATGTGACTGGAGTTTTTCAGCTCTGCTGTTTTCACCCTGTCACAGTTTGGGCTAAAAAAGGAAACGCTGCTTTGAAAATCAGGTGATTAATAACAATCTGAGACCCTGTAGGAAATTGTTCTTCAGTATTTGTTTATTTTAGTAATAAATGTTACTAGGAGAACAATGTGCTTGTAGGAGCAGTTTTTAATTAAACCAGGACATTGTTAATAATTGCTTTTATTCTTTTGTGTTATGGTAACGTATGTGTTCTCTTGTCTTGCAATTACAGTGCCTGCTTAAAACTTGACATGTATTCTGTCCCCCTTAAGTATGTGAGGTCGTGCAGACACTGCAGCTGTGCTCTGACAGAGACCCCCAGGATCTTGTAGGTGACTTGTCAGTCTGTCTGGATGGCATGCAGGTAGACCCAGAAACCTTTGTCTTGGCAGAGAGAGAACAAGGTGAGAGACCACGCTCACACAAACCCAGTATACTATGTGGGAC